GTATGTAACAAAACGTTAATGCTTCTAACATTTGCTACCTGACTGCAAGTATGGATATGTTAGTATTTTTATATAGCATAAATAGTCGGTTTTGTCCCAAAGTTTCTTTCGTCTAGCAATCTTTATACATATAAACAGTTTCTTTTTGGTATGTTTCATTTTCAAGATATTATTCCATGAAATGGCCAACTTTTCTTCACGATGGGGAGGTTTAGTTCAGCAAGTCACATAAAAGTGCACTTGGGATTATATTTAATAAATATTTTAATAATTTTTATTTATTTATTATTTATATTAATAAATATCTTGCTACCAAACCTGACAATTTTTGGAAGGTATATACAACTCACTAATGTAACATAAAATATAAAATATCGTGTATGTATTACTTACTAATAAAACGAAACAAGCTGTTAGGGCTACTTAAGAAATTTGAATTCGTATGTTTTGCCCTCCAACGCAAATTATTTGCTCACTTTTGTTACACACTGTACATGCAACGAGCTCTCACGGCTATTGTCTCCGAAACGGGCAAACTTTTGGAAAGTAACCAGTTCGAAAGTCTCGGAGCCGAAGTGCCGTGGAACACAGGCCAGATGCCTGGCCGAAGATTCGGACGCTCGAACATTCTTTGCTCGTGTAGAAATCGGAAACAAAAAGAGACGTTGGTGCAAACACGGTTTGGCGAAAGAAACACAATGGAGTCGTAAGAACGATAGAGAGTGAGGACTGTAGCGGAAGTCGACGTCCCAGGGATGAATCTTTATACTTTTTACAGACTAAATTAACAGAATTTTTTTCTGCAAACAACTTGCAAGGCATTTTTTTATACTTCAAGTTGAGGGTGCATCAACCATCAACCACCATCGATATTGTTATTAGTTGTATCAGAGGTATCGTATAATTAAGACGTGTACGTCATCTTGTGAAAAGACTCCAATTATTTGGTAAAATGTCGATATACAGTGATTCGTATTAATATTCGGGCACTATAGTACTTTAATCACTATTACAATGTACAACTGATCATAATTCAGTTTATACATTTTTTGTTGTGTGATATGTTAGAACGTATGTTTCGTTTATCGGAAATGTAAATTTTATTTATTTAAAATATCGAATTTGTAATGTAGCAAACAATACACTAGATAATGTATTATTCGGACACTTAGCGAGTTTTGATTATTATGTATTAGCATATGACTTGAAAGTTTGGCGTGTCCATAGATGGTTAAAAAAATGCATCGATAGATGCACATTAAAATCTTTGATTTTTTCGAAGATCAATCCACTAGACCTAAATTCGCGTAATATCGTGGATCACGTGAACCACAGTAATCACGTGAATGTATTCATCACACGTAGAAAATCTCATACACTCGCAGTCCCCAACGTAAACATGACAATTGCGTTAACAAGGAGATTAAGGAGTAAAATACGAACGCAACGGTGCATCGCGTCGTATATTTGCTCGTTCGCAGAAAATTCCGCAACATCCTCCACGTATTTTCCCGACGTCTATGCCTCCGCGTTCGCGAAACATCTTTTGTAAGTTGCCGGGACTTCCACGGAGTAAATTTCAAGGTGTCACCGTGACGTTTCCACGGTGCGCGCATTACGGGCCATTTTTCCCATTCACCAATGCCGCAACTTCACCCGTAAATATGAAATCTCGGGGGAAGTTTACTGGAACGGAAGGAACGAGTCGCACGTGTGCGGACTTTGGCATTGGGAACGCGAAATCAGTGACCGTGTTCTTCGATTTACAACCTTGTACACACTAGGGTCCCTTTTTTCACGTGTACACGTGTTCGAGTGTACTTCACGTTGTGCACACGGTACACGTGACACGGATCATGCTAAGGGATTTCCGTGAGCGTATTTAGTTTTCAATAGGTGTAGAGGTGAATTCTATGCTTTTCAATTTACTCGTTCATGACTGTAGAGAAGTAAAAATATTTATGTACTTGTCAATTTGTTACATTGAATTATCAGGGGACCTCCTATAGCTTGGATACCTCGGGGTTACTAAACCCGTACTGTAGCTGCATTACTGGATAATATTCGCATGCTACAGCCCCTGAGAACGGCCATTGCAATTTATCTATTCAGTAGCTCACAAACTTTGCTTCTCGTTGCTCTTCTAACAGATTACAAATATCTTTGCATTTACGTAAGTATTTATAGCTCTAGTTTAAATAGAATTATATACTGACCAATTATATTATGCTAGAGTACTGCCCTTCATAATAACACACATATTTACATTACAATTTATCAATTCAGTAGCCCAACAGTGTTGCTTCTCGTTGCTCTTCTAATAGATTACAAATGTCTGTGCATTTACGTAATTATTTATAACTCTACTTTAAATAGAATTATTTACTGGCCAAATATATTATGCTGAAGTATTACCCTTCGTAGTAACACACAGATTACTTCGACATTTACAACTACATAACTACATGTTTCATAACTACATGCTCTCTTGAAATGTATGACCGAGGAAAAATTCAAAGTCGTATGGATTTCCTATATGAATAAATAATAAGTTCACTTTAATAGGCACAGAATTAATTTCCATGCTTAATATTATTGTTACAACAGCAAAAGTCAGAAGAAAAAGGATGGCTGCGTTCCTGGAAAACCTCCATCGCATCAATTTTTGATGTTATTACACTTGCACGTAGATATCGGATATTGATTGCACTCCGTGAACACCCCCGGAAGACCAACCCCGGAATAAATAAAACCTTCCTGTCTATCCGTCTATCTCGGGGCTGCGAACACGCTTCCGTATTCACGGAAATTATTCGCTGTGCCTTTGCATATTTTGAGAAAATTGATTCTGGACATCGTTTCCAAACAATTTCTTTCCACCAAGTTACAAACAAGATATTAAAGCAAAAATTGCTACTTTGAGGAATCGTCAAATAATTACATCATAACATAATTCAAATGGATGTCATTTCATTTGCATTGTTAACTTACGAAAATTAATGCTAACAACCAACTTCTGGTTACCCAGAAACGAAGGATTAAATTAGGATCATTTACCTGAAATAGAAAAGAGATCGTATTATTCAGATTTAACTAATTGTAAGTGGGCGTACAAACCAAAAAGGTTGAAAAATACTGGCTTAAACTAGTACTTTGAACTGACTAAAATACAAATTCTCTGACAGGCTTTCCCTTTCGGAAGCAACGGAAAAACGCTCGTTTTGAAAATTACTCTAACGCGCGTATAATCGACAACGACAAACACGGCGAAAAATTGGTTGCGTTTCCGCAGAATCCGGAAATCGAAATGGAAACAATGGATTCAGGTAGCTCGCATCGTGACGGGAGTGCATTCGAAACCAGACACGGCTGGGGAATCTCGTTTACTTGTAAATTTCAGCACGAACCTGGAACTGTTCAATCCTGTCACGACCTCGTCCCGCAGAGCGCTTCCGTGATATATTAGGCTCCTGCGCGGGATTCTGTCAGCTGTGAAACGCAGGTTAAAAATTCAATTTTCCGAGTTCCCTCACATTGGCATCGAATTTTACATTTGCCATAAGGTAAATGATCCTATTAAAGTATACAAATTTGATTTTATAATAATAGGTATTTCTAGCTGGTATACAAGAATTAATCAAGAACCAATTGAGTTATTTCTATTTTGAATTTTCTATTCTTATACAAAAAATAGCATTTGATACAATGTCTTCTGTGGTGTATGGAGACAAGTTCAGAGAGGTAAACTTAACTGTCAAAGAGAGTGGTGCGAAGAGCAATAGCGAAGGGTCAATTGTATGGTAACCGTCTCGATAGCAATACCAATAAGGAATTACGTGAACGACTCCCAGATGTTTTCTTGTGTATAGTACTAATAAACCAATTAATACTTTTGCGTGAACCCTCTTAATATCAAGTACAACGTCTGTATATTACGTATAATGCCTTAACCTCTTGATCGAATGTTAAAATAAAGTTATTGAAATAAATACCCCGATGATAATGTGGTCATCTACCTTAATTATTCCCAATAGTCTTCTATGTCTAAATAACAATTTTTCTCCCTCTAACGATCCATTTGAAAAAATTGGTAGAAATCTAACCCTACTCTCATGTGTGATCTTACCTAAGCATGAATGTGCGTACTGCTCGCGTAGAGGCAACGTCTTACCTTGACCGAGGGCTTCCGGTATTCTCCTTGCTCGACGTGCTTTCACGTAAACCTTTTTTAACGCGTTGCATTCCGCGCTTCCTTCGAATCTGCCACAGCGTAAACCAGTTCAGACTCTCTCTCACGACAAGACCATTAACTCGTTGAAAGGAAAGCACGAGATCCTCCACGAAGGAAAGCGAAACTGTCACGTGGTCGCTGCCTAACGTTTGGAAACCAGTGAATTAGCAAATTAAGTTATTCATTACATAATCGCTCTAGCAATTCGTATACGAAAACTAACTGTGGTAACGTGAAAAATTCAATTGGACTATTTGCATCCACGACTAGCTCGTTCCTTGGTGTCCACTACTCCATTAAACGAATTAGCATCGGCCGTGTATGTCGATACCGTCAAATTTCACGATGCTCCACCGAGATAGCGGCAACAGTAACCGAGATTCACGGAACAGATGTCCCACGTCAAATTTCCGGCCGGATATTTATTAATTTCCGGCAATGTCGCGCGGTTCTCGACTACGCTGGCTGGCCTGTAATTAAGTTCGCCGAGTGTAGCATGGAACAACCGACGTGGAAATCGTTAAATCGTTACGTCCATCGGCGGGACGCAGAGATCTTGAGCCTGACGATGAACGAATGGCATCGACGAATGAGAATTAATTTGGTTGACAATCGAACTTCCGTCGAGCTGACTCTACTAGCTTTGTTTTAGGTGCACCTACTTATTATGTCAGTTGAGCGTTTCACTGTATAAAACGAATAAATCCACTTTTTGAAAAATCATAAATTTAAGTGTCAAAGCACTTGGTATAGTCAACTTTGTATATTTATAACAACTTTCCTGAATAATAAATCATTTATTTCAACTTTTTGTTTTATAGAGTCAATTAATTTGTACAACGAACGACTCAATTAATAATCGTCCAAACTTTTTTACTTGAGATTTAGGGCACCTCAAAACATGCTTCTTTCTTTCCTCAACATTTTATCACCGATATTGTCGAGGTAGCAATAGGTTGCAATAAAATGGGGACTCGAAGAAACGCTAAAGTTTTACCTCTGGAAAAGAACCTACAGTTTGTCCACCAACTTCGCTAATGTCTCCTGTCAAAGCATAGCAAATACCATGATAACGCGAACACGGGAATCTTAAAAGTTCTCGAAGTATTTCGGATAGTATCGCGCGATATAACACCAAGTTGGTACGGATATCGAAGGCTCGCGCCTCATCGTTGATGCGAGGCCTAAAGTTTGCCAATTTTGCGGGGAAACTCTGGAAAAGCCACGCTTTCCGTAAAGAGTTCGCGGTGTGAGGGCATCCGTGAGAGTTTCGAGTCCCGAGCGTTTCGAGACATCCTTTACACGCCGCCAGAAACTTTAATCGACGCTCGGACGAGTCTCGTTCCACGATTGGCTGACAATGCGCCGATTTTGGGAATTCTGGAAACTCGATATGCCAGAGTTCCCCTGGATTCGGTTGCTTTGTGTTCACGTGAAGTTATTTAGGTTAGGCTTTTTGAAAAATTAATGAAAACGGTTTGTATAACATTTTACTAAATTGTCTTATATCTTACTACGAGCTCATCAAGCCATATCTCAAAAACAGAACATTTTTTGTTCAAATTCAGGATTTCCCTTCGGACATCTACGATATTGAAGCAGGAATCCCCCAGGTCAGTATCTTTTGGAGCCTATTCTATATGTATACATGATACACTTCCAATATTCTTACTACACAAGAAACCATAATTTTTACATTGGCTGATGATACAGCAATTTTAACCACCCACGAAGACCCTCAGACAGCAACTTCCATGTTACAACAACATCTCTTAAAACTCGGTCAGTGGTTAAGCGTATGGAAAATATAAGTAAATGCGACAAATGTAAACATATCACGTTTGTGATATGTTTTACCTTAAAGAAAAGCACGGTTTCTGCGATAACGTTAATAATGTCATAGTACCTCAAATTAAAGTAGTTAAATATTTAGGAACGCATCTAGACTTGCCACCAAACTCTCACAATTAAATATGGGCAACAAACTACTAATATATAAAACAATTATTAAACCCATATGGACATATGGAATTGAAATGTGGGGCATGGCAGCAAAAAGCCACATATCAAAATTAGAATCCGCACAATCCATTATACATATTTAGGACTGCGGTCAATGCACCGTAGTATGTGCGTAATGACGAAATACGCAAAGATCTGAAAATTAGATCGGTAGCAAACGAAATAACTTGAGTAACTATTAAATATAAAACAAGATTAGACATCCACCCCAATGAACTAGCAAGAAATCTGTACAACATAAAATCCGAAGGACCTATTATCCTAACATGTCCACATGTTACAACAGATTTTTTCACACCTGCTAATACAGTTGACCAAATGTCCGTTATTGGACAAATTGTAATCATGCTTGGAGATAACAGAAAAAAAACTAAATTGAACTTTGTTCTACTTGGATGTCCCCTCTGTGGGGACGTCGTAAATCTAAGAACATAACCCCCAAAAACACTTTATTACACAATTATTCTCCACGATACAATAAGTAATTGTCGTTGACAGCGATTGTTAACTTGCACATCTTCCAGTTACAACACCCGGACCAGAAACAGAAGGTAAATTAGCTTCTATGGCATCCTCATCTCCATTTACAATAAGCGATATACCTGCAGCAATTTTGTCCAAATTCCCATTTGTGACTTGCAATATTGCGAGGAATAAAAAGGCAGGTTGCTTCTCGTAACTATTTTACAAGATTCATGTGGACCCAAACAATGTTCGTAGCCACTGTACACGCACAGTGTTTGTAGCGATTATATATTGGTGAAAGTAACAATTTTCCACATGCAGATACAATTGCAGCACCATCAGTTCGAACACGAAACATCGATCACGGACACCTTTGCCACCTGCGTGCTCTTATCCCTGCTCCACCTCCTCGAGACCATTTTTGTCAATTTACAGACTACGATTCTCTTTCCATTTAGAGTCTGTTCACGGCGTGATATAGATGACCTGCGTTTTGGTCTTCGGTTTGCGCCTGTGAATTACGATAACTTCGGTGGGATGCTTCTTCGGTCGATGCGTGACGATGTAAATCGTGTGTCGAGGGTCGGGTGCTGGTGCAGCGATTCCGTGGTCGATGGCCCAGAAGGACAGAATCGCGCCGATTGCGATCACGCTCAGCCAAAATCTAACCCGGTTCATGCTGCGCTGTGATTTTCCGACAAGTGGCCCAGGCCAGCTCGCCGACCCGCTCTTATAAAGCTACCCCTTTATCGTGAATCGTGCGAAACGTGACGAGCTATAAAGAACCACGACCATAAACGCTCCCAAGTGTTCACAGAATCGCGGAACGATAAGTTTTAACGCTAGAGTTCTCTTTAAAATTACTTAATTGTCAGCTACGCTCTTGTCGCCATCTTTGACAACGATTATTCGAATGAAAAGTTTGTTAAATTTTAATGGAGTTTGTGTTGGATTATTTACTATAATTCAACCTTTTATTTTACTACAAAAATAAATGTACTGAGGATATATGTATACAGTCAGTCTCATAAGTATTCTTACTCACTATATTCTATCGAAGATATTTGTCTAAATTAAATGAGAGGTTTGCTGGTTTCAACAAATTTCTCGTTATAAATACATACAAGTGTAAAGTTTATTTGAGCATATATATCTAATGAAACATTTATTTGGGAACGTAAAACCTCTCATTTAATTTAGACAAATTTCTTCGGCAGATATAAAGGGTATGAATATTTATGGAATCGACTATATATCTGTCACTGCAGGATAAAAAGGGAGAAACATTAGGATATGCCCTGCCCTCTCCAAATACCCCCATTTCCAATAAGTTGTTTTTAATTTATCTAAAAAATTTTCATTTAACAAAGCGATCGTAGAATTGTCCGTCACTCCTCGAGAAATATGTAAGTCCTGCGAAACTCAACGCATTGTAGATGATGCAAAATCCTGATTCAACGCTTAAATAATCTTTACCAATAATTCTGATCGATAAATCGAAATTTCATTCAAGCATGACATTGTTCCTGGCACGATTCGTCCCTAGAATAGAGAATTACAAGTTAGAAGAATGCTACAAGTAAGTTTAAGTCTTGTATAAAATACCTTTCCTCTTTCAAACCTCCAACTAAAAACTTCAGGTGGTCGAAATGTTCAAACTCCGTGCCTAACGTTGGATCTTTTGAAACGTTTCGATACTCTACGATGAAACGATCGCGGAGATAATTCCACCAATTTTTGAACGACTCGACTAAAAGAAAGCAAATTGTTTTACTTGAAAATTCTTAAGAATTGTTAGTATGCGACTACAGCACAGATCTGGATTATCATGATTTATTGAACCTGTTTGTTTTAAATACGTAGTAGGTATCGATTCTATCACAAACGCGTTGTACACAAAAATATCGCAAAACAAATAACGCGTCAAATATAAAAAGTGTAATCTAATGTAATTTATCTATTGATATGAGATAAAAGACGGACGGTCCTAGAATTTTCCTGATAAATACGTATCTGGGATAACTACTTAGACTTATCAAAGGATTATCGACGTATAAAACTCTCTACGGCGAGCGAGACGTCTATGACGTTTTATGGTTGTTCGTAAACTACAATAATCGCTAACGTTAAACAAAGCTATTCAACAAAAGATTAAGTTACTCAAATGTTTCTGTCTTTAATATCTCAGAGATGTATATACCGATGAGTGTCAATAATTTTCTAACTCATGAGAAATACTTACTCACTGTTACCCTCTCTTCTTCGGGGATACCATCGAAATCGTCCACCATCTCGCGACATATTTCCATCCAATATCCATCTTTCTTTTTCACGTTGTAAAAATAGTCTTTGACGTGTTCGTTCCACAGTAAACTTCTGTCACGCACTAAGCTGATTAATCTCGCTGTATCGGAATAAGCCATCTTTGTTTCGACGTGAAAATTAAGCGTTTTGCAAGCTACTACTAGTGCATCGAGCGAGTGATCGCTACGTTAATCCAAATGAAAAATCCCACCAGTGTAAACCGCTTTCCCACCTAAGCGACGCGATTCTCCGCATCGAACCTTGATTCAAACCACATTCTGGAATTGCGACCTCAGAACGACGTTATCTACGAAGCCATGATTGGCGAAGACTTGATTTATAGATCAATTATCAAACCAGAAAATTAAAAGTTTTGAATTCATAATCTTATCGCTACGGAATTGCTTTAACCCTTGCAGCGTGACAAAAACAGCGACGCATCGCGCAGTATAGTTCAGATTGGATGGAGCTTGTTTGAGGAAACTTGGCGCAGACTACCATAATGGACCAACGTTTGCCGAAACTTCGGTCGAGTCGACGCGTAATCTTGTAATCAAAAGTCCGAACGTATAAAGCGAATTTAATCAAACTCAGACACACCGAAGCCCACGCTGGTTGCAAACTGAACGGAAACCACGATCTGTAGGTTTGGGGTTCTCTTCACGCTGCCGCGTTACGTATGCTCTTCGTTTCTGGCGAAGAGCATCTTGCAAGCAAGCGGTAATTTCATATCGAGAACATTTAGGGCGCTTTCCGGTAAAACTGTTTGGAATGTACGTGATGTTCATCAATTTTTTTCAAAGAAACATGTAGGCTGGACGGTAATAAATGTAGTTGGTCTGTATTGTGCTGTAAATGTACTATAAAAAAGAATTTTGTCATTTTTATGCACTTGTGTCTTCGATACGTATCGTATGATGTACCGTCATGAAAATTAGAGTACTTGACGAAGACCATCAGACTTTGTAATAGAACCACATAAATTAAAAAAGTTTTCATTTTCCTGTTACATTATTACAATTTTTGTGTGTTAATTTGTGTGATAAATTCGATGAGAAAATGTCTTGGGAGAGAATAGGGTTAATAATCGAGATTCTGATAAACGATCCGAGTTAGTTCTCGAGGAAAGCAAACGATACGAACGATACGAGTATAGATACCGTGCGAAGGAAATTGAGTGGCCTCGGGAGAATTGGAAACGAGATCGGATCGTGGTGCTATTTAAGGAATCTTCCAGAAGATCAGCTGGTCTTTCGACACCAATAACGATCGCGACCTGATCGTGTTCCTGCCCTCTATCGCGGAAAGTCTATTTGTCTCGATGTCGCAGGACAAGCTTGGAACCAAGATCCTTTTTTTTATTCTTCAAAGCTTTGATCTTCGTTCCTGCCACGAAATTTTATGCCCAAGATTTTATTAAATAAAGAAAATTCTCTGATACAAGATACTTCTTCTGTCCATCGAGTCACCCTTTTTTCGGGCTGTTTTTGCTACACGCGATATGTAAACCGTCGTGGAGTAGTAACGAGGTTCAAAGGTCTGTGAAAGAAGGACGCGACGAAAGGAACAACGACTCCTGGATTTCCGATTTCTTTGCCAAACGTGAAACGACGTTCCTGAGAGCTCTGCCAACTGCTCGTAAACCACGAAATAATGTTCCTCGTGCCCCGTGCAGAAGAACATTCGAACAAATACTGAAAATCAGCTGCCGTTTATACAGCAAACCACTCGCTAGATTTTGCCTTTCAAATTATTTTTATTTTCCTTTGAAGTAAATAATAATAAATATTCTGTAAAAGAACAGTTCAAGGGCTCGAAATGGTATACGTGACATAAAACTTAAATAGTTTTATTTAGTTTGAGCATTTATCGAAAAGCAACGTAGAAATAAAGAGTGAAATATAGAATGAAAAATAGGAAAATACTATCACACCGTGTAAAACGTTTTTCCCTCTACGTATAAATGAAAACATCTAGGGTCTCCGAATCGACATAAAATTAGAATACGGCGATGAATTCTCGAACTTGCCAGAGAACTTGTATCCAAACGGAAAGTTAAAAAAGCAAAGTCGCAAATTAAACGAAATTTATCGGCGTTCGCATCTTAATCCTTGAGAAGCTCTCGGGGCGAGCAACGAAACATTCCGCATCCTTAATTTACCTTCCATTTATCTCAGTCTCATTTAAATCCTCCATCCATCGCTTCCTTCTTCCTGGAAGTTAGGAAACGCGGGACTGAGACCAATAAACAAAATAAACAATTTGTAGCCAGGGCAGCCTAGCGCCGCCGTCTCAATCGATTCTCTCCCCATTCGATTCTTATGCTACCTACTGGTTCCTTTCGAGCTTTCGGAAACAATTAATCGTTCGGCGATCGATAAGAGAATTTACAGATTTGGTAGAGCAGATTTGGAGTTCGTTCTTTGCATTAAAATTTGTATTCCCTTAGCACTCAAACCATTCTTCTCACCTGTAGGTATTCTGATTGTTTAAAATACATATTTTAAATAAAACTTGCACATTTCAATGAGATGTGAAGTTGTTTTTGGGCCACAATGAAAAAGGTTACTGTAATGTCAGACATTAATGTTTAGTTATTCCAGCTAACAGATGTAACGATATATAAAAATTTCTCACGATTACTGTGTTCGATGAATACTTATTATGAACCGATTTCTTACGTAAACAAACAAACAAACAAAGCTCCCTCCTGTCGCCAACAGCAGTGACGCCTTCCGATTTGATTCTTTCGAATAAGATTGGTTACTTAATTTGCATTCGAATTTCACTAAAACAATGCTCAGGAAAAGACGAACATTTATTGCAATTGTTCCAAAGTGCATTAGCACTGATTTCCCTTGAATAGGTCCACTTGCTTGTTCGTCCCAGCGAAAATGTCGTCGAGCGCAAAGATTTAAAAACAGCCGTGACAGAATCGAGTAGGAGTCTCGTTATCGGAGCACCAGTGAAATTTCCTGCGTATGGAGATAGGTCATGATGGCCGTGCAAACCACCACGACCTCGAAATTCCCGTTCGCGATTGAATTAGGTGAGACGAGCTAGTGTTGAGGAATTTCCATGCGGGCTTGTGAACCGCTACGCTCGCGAGCATAAAGAGCCCTGATCAGCTACGATGTGTACAGTGGGACAAAAAAGTATATGCACACCCTAGGTTTAGAAGTTAACTGCTTGTAACGAAGTAGTACATTGGTACTTCTCATAAGTATGTGAACACTCCGTGTATTGAAGTAAATATCTAAACAAGGTGATGAATATCACTCATGTTTCTCTGTTTAATTTGTGTTGCATTAGAGAATATAGTTTTCAAATAGTTTATTTAATACCTTACCAGTAAATAATAATTAACAACTAAATAATAATTCAATTTTTGTTTAATTAAACCATTCACTGCTAGGCAAATTTAAAGGCAATCTAGGTTATTATTTTGATAATAAAAAGTATTTTTGTTGGTTTAAAAAGTAACTTTATGATCTTCTTTTGCAATAATTCGTGACTCAAGAGCTATAAACTTATCTCTTGATTAATTGCAATAAATTTGAACTACGAGACATCTAGTAGTTGCCAGTGAATGGGTTAATGTATCACTATTTCAAGCTATCAATGCTTCTAAAATTTCTTTTACCAACCTTGGCACTCTATCTATTAATTTCACCACTGAATCCGAAAGAATATATATTATTCCATTTATTTTGTAGTATCTCGCCATAAATGATTTGAATGATCCCATGGTATATATTAATCATCCATCCAAAGTGTTAATTGTCTATATATTTATGAACAGGTGTGTACCTACATGACTAAGACATTCATCATTTTTACATTATCCTCGAACGGTAAATGATTAATCTCCTCCAGTTAGCATATCGTTTCTACGTATAGAGGAGCTCGAAAATTAATAACTCCTTCTGTACTGTGAAACTGTTCTTGTGAAACTGGACTCGCAGATACTTTCTCGACCCACTGTATATCTCGCTTAAGCTCATTGCGCGCAAGATATTAATCTCTCTTCCGGTTTCCTTTGAAGTTTTCGGACCTTAAGCGGACCAAAGGTAATCCGATTTGGCTGCTCGCGAGCAGCGTCATGTACCACTACTTAGCGTTTGATACTTAGCGTTGCTTAGGTAATTAAACGGCCGCCATTTTGCACCGTTGAGGATTAACATTGCCACCGAATCCTTATACGCCAATCCTGTTTTTCTATCAGGCACAGAAACACCTCCACACGAGCACGTTATGTCTCGCGAACAATCTCTAGGAAATAGGGTACAGTGATGTGAACAATTAACCCTTTGACTGGACATTTTTGAGAGGTGTAAATTTAAAAAAAATATTTGTTTATAGGGAGTGATAAAACGAAACTTGTTCATATTTACAGTTTATTCATACGATGTTTAGATTTAGAGATAAAAATTGAAAACTTAGAAGACCTTTTTCCTACAATTCAGTTTTTGCAATGAACTTTTAACTTTTCAATTTTTATTTTCGAAGCTAACCGTCCTACGAATAAACTGTGGATCTTCGCGTGGAAGTCAAAGCTATTTATTTAATTTAGAGAAATTTCTTCAACAGACACAAAGGCTACGAATGCTTATCGTACTGACTGTATTTCTCCAACCTGATTGGATACTGGTCATTATCTATTCGAGGTAATCAAAGATTCCTAATCTCGTTAGGCTAACGACGAAACTAAATTGAAACAAAAGAGGGAAAATTGGACACGTGGAATAAGCGGACGAAATTTCAAATATCGGAATCCCATGAAACTGAACCGCGCGCAATCGTGGGATTCAATAACAATTGCGATGGCGAAAGGTTTGAGGGTGGCTTTAGCTATCTCGCGCAAGCTCTCCCACAAAGGAGGAATTGCATCCCCGTAGGTCGCCATTCCGCTTGGAAGGCGGTATTCTAAGAAAATTCAAAGGCTAATGACGATTTACAGTTACTCGCTTCAATATTCGGAGGCTATAGTTCTCCTGGATTTGTTTGTTGATATCTTCGTAAATTATCAAAATATTCATTCGGTTGCTTTTCATTATGTTAAATTATATATTATAGATGATAATGATATACGCAATTACCTTGTACTTAGTGTACATTATTGTATCATATGTAAATTTTAAACGAAAGAATGTCTAGTTTTCACGTTACAATAATATTCGGACATTACATACAGTACATAAGCACATATAGTACTTGACTCAGGAATTCTAGAAACGTTTCCAGTAAAGTGTTTACGTATTTTTGTGTACAGG